ACAATTTTGCATGTTGTGGCAAATCATGACGTCTAGGAGTTTTTTCAATATTTTATTTGTTTTCAGCACACCAAAATATATGGAAATTAGATGAAAATAATCAAACAGCTTTTTAGTCACAGATCTGTGATCGTTAGATTTGCAAATGGCTGCTTTTAATTCACACAGATCTATGTCGGTTTAATACAGAAACTAAGCTCTGATCTTCTGGTTAATCACACTGTAGTTCTCTGAATCTTAATAGTTAAAAATGCCTAAGTAATTTAAAATAACTCTGTTCTATAACATGTGCAAGACTCTTATGTATAATTGCCCCTCCCCAAAACATATAATTTTAAAAGTTGTGAATAGAATAATTTGGTACATATTTATCTGTGTTACTTCCAGCAAGAGATGGCCTGTAAACCAAAGCATTTTGAACATCTTAATCCCATGTTTGAAAAACACTCTGGGGAAGGGAGGAGAAACATAAATACTTTTAGCTGTTGTGATAGGTTGCAGTCCATCACTTCTCCCTACTTCTGCTTTTGTTAAACATAAAAGGAAGGAAAATGGAATGAAGGGAGGAAACAGTGCTATCACTATTTCCTTTCTTCATTTCATTTTCCTTCATTTTATATTCTTCTTTCCGTCATTTATTGGAAATGAAAGTGAAAAATCCTACAAAGAAAAACTGCATTTCCTTTTACTGAAATTACAATGGTGACAAGAAGTGAGGCATGTTAGAAAACTGCAGCTGACTACGTTCTTTTTGTTTTAGTGTGTTCAGATTTTTATGACCTTCGGTCTGCTAAGACATATTCCAGAAGAAAGGACTTTAGACTCATATGCAAACATTTTTTTTAAAAAAAAACCTAGTTTTTCAAAGTTGGAATTCCACAAATGAGGCAAGATTCCACCCACCCAACCACTGTTTTAGCAAAACCACTTAGCTTCTTGCTCTTTCCTCCCTGCAATCCAGTGTAGTAACATCATCGCTTAGAACAGGCCACTCTCCATCTTCAGTATGACTCTACATCACCGCCTTTCCCAGGGTGATGTCCCTGAGAAGTCCTGTATCACCAGTCAGTCTGTAGACAGCCTGGCTGAAAATGAGCTTTGCTGTCCAACAGTTCTGGAAAGCACCCATTTGGATAAGGCTGCAGGAAGGGCTGTTCTGAACTTTGCTCCTGGAGACATGTCTTCAGTTGAAACCATCTGTTTCTTCCTTTTCTCCTCCTGCAGTTTCAATGCATGCATAAAAATGAACTTGTAACTTAAGTCTGTCACCAGAACTGAACAGATTAATGAGTTGGAAGGGACATCGGAGTTTTTCTAGTCCAACTCCCTGTTCAGGCAGGAACCCCATATCATTTCAGACAAATGGTTGTCCAAGCTTTTCTTAAAAATCTCCACTGTTGAAGCACCCACAACTTCTGGAGGCAAGTCATTCCACTGATTAATTGTTCTTACTGTCATAAAATTGTCATATGGTAATGGAGTTCTGACATTTCAAAAATGACTGATGATAAATTCCCCAGTACACGGATCTTTGCATGGTTACAGGTCAGCAAAATAATCTCCATTGAATGTGAGAATCAATTACTCTGCCAAGCACCATGTCTTTAAGGTGCTGAACAATTCTATCTGTGTTTGAACTATTTTACTTTCCATACAATCAGCAAAAATGTGCCAAGGACAAATTATTCCATTACATCAGACTCGTTTATCACACTGCTACTCCCTCTTAGTATACATATTTGCCCTTTGATACTGGTCAAAAAGTGTTTCTGTTAAAGAATACAAAGAATCAATTTTCCACTATGCTTGTCTTAAGTTGAAATATTCAGACTCCTTGTATGATGTGAATCCACTGATTAACACAGCCACGGGATCTGCATAAGGCATGGATTGTTATGGACTGGGTGGATGGAGTGGAGTGGGGAAATCAGGTTGTCTTCTCCTCAAAGTATTTCCTCGCTCCGCAAACTTTTAAGCCTTATAGGTTTAATGACTTACTTACAATGTGCCACCTATGCAAACTTTTTTCTTCACTGTGTGCGTATAAATAATAATACATTATTTAATCTACAGCCTTCCTCAATGTGGCACCTTCCAGCTGAATTGGACTTGAACTTACAGACTTTCCTAGCTGGCATTCCTAGAAGGGATCAGATTGGAGAAAAGTGGTCTGTCACTCAATTGCCTTTTGGCTTCTATTCATTTTAACAGCACCACTTTATTTGATAAAGGGGAGATTTATGTTTAGCTGTGAATGCTCATTTGTTGGTCTGTACCTGAAACAATTTATTTAAGGGGGGGATTCTGTGCCCACGTATAGTGTCAATATTTCGGCAAATGATATCTGTATCTTCAGAAAATAAGGCCTTCAAGAACATGAACTGGGGAATGGATTAGCTCAAGGGCTCAAGAACTTTGTAGATTCCAGCGCCCATCAGCACACCTAACATGGCTAGTGGTTAAACATGCTGGCAGCTGCACTGTACCATCTGGTAGCCTCAGGTCCTTACCTCTTGGTACATGAATCTTTCTCCATCTTTTTTCCAGATAAGAGACTGGTGTCTACATGATGGAGCAGAGCAGGCATAACTTCAGAACATAGTTTGGATAGTACTCTAATAAATTAATCAGGAAGGAGCAACAGGAGATGCAACAAACAAGATCAGAGTGTTTTCAGAGTTATTGATAAAGTTTGGCAAACTGGCAATTAACTAGTTGCAATTATTGTTTTAGAGATCGGAGGTGTGGACAGGAAATAAAAGGTAAAATGGTGATGGACTAAGATTATGTAATGGTCCTCTTAAGGAAGAAAGAAGGATGCTTTAATGAAAGTCCAGAACCTGGAAGGAGAGAGAAGAAACTTTTGCTTTCCTTTCTTATGTCCTATTTGAAATAGAGAAAGAGTCCCATGTCTTCCCTCACTCATCCAAATAGCTCAGTTCCACTGGAAACTTCAGGGTAGTAGCATACAAGAAAAAAGGTGACAACCAGTCTATATTCTGTATAATGAGATTACATCTGAGATTACTTCAAGAGAAGAAGCAAAAAAGGGGGCAAACCTAGGAAGTTTGAAGCCAGACTTCTAGCTATTCCATCAGGACCTCACTCCTGAAGAGGGTAGATGTATCATTCCTCTAACTCTAGATGGTTGGTTTATACCTAAAGCATATTGTCATGCTATTTTACAGAAGCTGAATATCTTCCCATATCTAATTTCAATGTATTTTATCCTCATTTGCCCAGCCAACATTTACAGGCAAAATTGAGGTTTCTAAATTAGATATACAAGGAAAGACCTCAACACATATCCCCATAGAAGAAACTAGCAGTAGATTCTAGTCAGTTCCCATTGCCCTTAATGTTAAAAGTCAAATAACTGCAAAGTAGCCACCATACAACGAAACGTTAAGTTCTGCTGAAATCAAGGCAGGTTCATAGGACTTAACCAGAGGTGAGTTGCTCCCGGATTGGCCCGGATCGGGCGAACCAGTAGTAGTGGTAGTGGGAGGCTCTGCCCACCTGCCTGGACGCTTCTGTGCATGCACTTCTGTGGAGGAGCACACCCGAACCGGTAGTAAAAAAATTGGCAATCCACCACTGGACTTAACGAGTGCTTTTCACTAGTGATCACTATGGATTGAATCCACAGGACCTTCTTTAGAAATATATCTATCTCAATTTGATAAAGGACGGGTTGACACTAAGAAAACAGATTGTAAGACAGGTTTGGCAACCTGAAACCATAAAGCCCTTCCACTCCTTCCTTGCGGTCCACAATAGCTTCTTCGATTACCCTTTCCAAAAGCTATAGGGACATTTGTTCACCATTGTGAGATAAGAAGTGCACACCAATTGTAATATAGGTCATCAAGTAGGCTTAATATACTTGGAAAACAAACAAACCTTCCCCTAAGCCAGGAAAAGAACAGAATGTCTTACAACATGTATTATATGGCCTTATCAATTTCACTTTGTTGGCCTGCCCATGTAAGCCTGCCACCCTCCCCGATTACAGTTTGCTCAACTTATCATGGAATATTTTAATTTGAATAAGTTGCAATGTTCATTGGCAATGAATATTTTCTATTAAAAATGGAAAGCAAGAAACAGAAATGGTAATGGAGAGGTAAATTATTGGGAAAGGTGTACAAGATTCAATATAGACTTCCTCTAAACTATCCAGCAGATCAGATTCCTATGATTTCCTATCTTGTACCCTTTAATATCTATAAAAATTGTTGCTTTCACATTGTTTGAGATTACTCTTTTCAAGATGAAATCCAAGGATGATTGCCATAAATGTGGTTCTTTCTCTGCACATTGGATACCCTTTACATGCTATTCTATAAACCTTGATTTGCTTTCAGGGAATTCAAGTTCTTGGAAGTCCCTCTTCCTGGTATTTTTGGAAATTTCAGCAATTCACTCCTAGTGCTGTTAATTCTACATTTTCAAAACCATGGGATTTAAGAACAAGTTTTGGAAACAAAAACAAAAATCTAAGTTTTTCACACCCAACAGTGTCCTGCTGTTTTATCTTTATGATAACAAACCTTCGAAAAATTGTACTAAGAGAGAAAAAAAATAATTTAGCTCTCAGGATTGAAATAACTTTTATACAAAAGCTTGTCTCTTTATCAGTACACACCACTGAGAAGAAATGGAAAGTAGAAATAAGCAGATTTCCTGGCCTGCATAACATTGCAGTATTTCTTGATTGTTGCCGTAGTATCAATGCGTAAATGTAAGAATTTGGAAATTAGTAACTAGCAACAGGACAAAGATTTTCATATCCTTGAATCATCCACTTTGGTCTAGGTCTACCAATAAATCCTTAGTGTTGACAAAATGGAACAAGTAAGAAAACTTAATATTTACATTTATGAATGAAACAAGTCTGAATATTCTTTTAATCTTACCTGAAATTTTTTCGAGCTCACAGGAAGATGCTTCTTGAATATGCTCCTTTATTTTGCAGTATATTAAAGAGAAATCACATATGGACAGAACACGTAATCTTTTTTATTTTTAATCCTCTGGTGAAAACAACTTTCCACATGACATCCCGACATTGGCTTTTGCTTTGAAAAATACCTAAACCAACCTAGCTACAGGTCAGCCTATATTCTACAGACTGCATCCAATCTTTGAAAATTGTTTCAAAATTCTGATGAAGTATTTACATATTTTGCCATTAGGTAGTAAAATTTTATTGCAATGGACATTTTTCTAGCACATACTTTATTGGTGGCAAGAGAGTAGGGATGACTGTGTATCTATCAAAGCTTATGACTAGAGAGGCCAGCCTTTCTCAATAGGCCTAGCTAGAACTATCAGAATTCCCAACCAGCCTCAGTCTTCCATTATGGAGGGTTGGAGTTCTGGGCATTGCAATCCAACCCGGTTAGAGGCCAAGAGCTTTGTGGAAGGCTGGCTTAGACAGGTCAATCTTTCTTTTTTCCTGAGAAAACTTTTGTTCTTGAAACCTTTGCTTGAAAATCAGAAACACAGACACCAAACATTTTTACTGCAATAAAAAAAAACCCTATAAAGATGCCTAGTTTAACTTGTTTACTTTTAAATTATTTATGTACCATTAAGTTAAAATGTTTACATTCATTCCATTCATTCGTATAAAAACTGTGGTTAAATCTTATGCTTATGATTTAACACTGATTGCTGCAACAGAAATTGCACTTTTCATAAGAAAATTGTGTATATGAAAAAGGGATCTCTCTCTCTCTCTCTCTCTCTCTTTTTTTTTTTTAGGCTACCCTGTTTACAAATTCTGACTGGCTAGATACAGCTCAGTCACATCATAGACACTGCACCTCTTCCATCACAGTATATACTTAAAAGACGATAATGCAAATATTTTAGTATACGTTCTTGTTAGCAAGTTCTAACTTGAGAAGGGTGTACCAAATGTTTTCATTGGGCTTTACGGTAAGTTACTTCAGAAAAACTACCCAGAAAATACAGAGCAGAAGGCACTAGCTGAGAACACTGACCTGGGATAAAGATCAGAAACTGTCAAGTACAAGATATGCAGTTACACATATGGACAAAATGCACATTTGCATTGCTCTTCTACACTGCATTATCCACTGTAATGTAAGCTTTGCCTACTTTGTCTACAAAAAGGAGGGGAAATGTCAACATCAATCAGGTCTTGGATGTTGGTCATGTGGGAGTGAGACAAAGACACAATCCTCAAATACACAAGGCCAGCATAGATAGTCACGGTGAAGATCTATGAATAGTGCAGAAGGGCACTCCTTGTTGAGTTTTTAAAAAAAGCAGTTCCAACTCCCATGAATCTCTTGCAGACTGATTTGGAGAGTCAGTTTTGCAGGAGAGAAATGTTATCTAGAAGCAGGTATGATGGGCAAAATGTCCCTGCCCCCACTGCGACAGCTTCTTGGACTGCTTGATCAAGGCAAAAATATCCAACGCAAGAGCAAATGACTGGCTGCAGCCCAGGGCAAATATCCACACCAGCGTTGATGTGCCACCAATTCACGCTAGAGCTAAGGCACACCATGAAGAATCCTGTCTCACAGAAGCTGTCACTTCTGCAGTGGAAGTCAGGCTGACACCGGAGTAGAGCCCTTCCTGGCCAGAATATTTGAGTGTGCTAGTCTCGGGACTGGTGCTCTCGCCCCGGTTGGACATCACAGAAGAAACTGCCTGCAGCAAGAAAAACAAAATACATTATTTTAATGTTCAATAAAAAGTAATCTCCAACAAAGGTGGGACAGGGATTTCCCAAAGAATGAACACCTGTTTCTCTTTATTTCTCTCTCTGTGTGTGTCTCTCTCTGTCTCTGTCTCTGTCTCTCTCTCTCTCACACACACACACACACACTGCTGGTGCTGCTGCTTTTCCCACTGCTCAGATGCTCACTTTGGTGTGCAGCTGCAGGTGACTGATCATCAGTCTGGTTACAAACTACCCTGGAGAATATTCAATACAAAGTTTCAGTGTAAATTCCGGACGCTGACCTTGGGATAATGGATCAGCCACTGGAGTGGAAAAACACACTGACTGCTCTAGACAATGTGTATACTGAGTTGTTATGAATGATCATATCCTTGCAAATTCAGTTCTTTTAATCCCCGCTTCTTCTTTAAGATGGCTAGCTCACATTTCACTATTTATGAGCTACCGTTTTGCTACCAAGCCCACAATTTGCTATTAGACTCCCAGAAGCAGCTATCTAAGGTACCAGACTGGGGCAAGCAATGAAGTGGGACTAAGTCCCACCCACTCCCCCTCCCTAACCCACCACCCAAATAATTTTTATGTTACCATACCCAAAGTAGGCAATTCCCCTCAGAATGGTGCAAATAAATCAGCAACTAACCCACCCAGGAGGTGGTATTCAGAGAGGAGGACATCCCTATAAATGTATTTTTTTTGGTGCCATGGCTGAGGTCAAGACTAAATGGGCTAAACATGCAGATAGATTTGATGGTATT